CTCCGCCTCCCCGCCGCCCGCCCCCGCTCGGGGGCCCCCGCGGCCCGGCCCCGCTGACACGTCCCGTCCCCGCCCGCCGCGCTGCGCCGCCATTTTGTGCGAGCCGCGGCCGGCAGCCGCGGGCAGCAGCCGCTTGTCTGCCTGTCCCCCTCCCGGTCCCGTCCCGTCCCCGGCTGCCGCTGCCATGCCTTCCGCGCCGCTCCGCGTGGCCGTGGTGTGCTCCAGCAACCAGAACCGCAGCATGGAGGCGCACAACATCCTCAGGTAAGCGGGGAGCGGGGCGGGAAAAGGCTGCTGGCCGGATACTTCCCTTCCCTTCGGCTAGGCCGCGCCCGGGCCGCTCCGCTGTCAGGGCGGGCCGTGTTCGGTGCCGGGGCTGGGGGCACCGTCCTGTTCGCATCCCCGAACCGGTGGCGGCTGTTTCTGCCCTCCCTGATGGACCCTCTTAGATTTTTCTCACGCTCTGGACCCGGCGTTGAAAACGCGGGCTGGGCCCCTTCGACAGGCCCCAAAACGGGGCCCGTGTCTCGACGTCTGAAAACTTAAACGTTTCCCCTTTTTTAAAATTTTATTTATTTATTTTAGGTTTTTATTTTATTTTTTAATTTTTTTTTCCTTACCCCCCTACACTTTTTTTTTTTTTTGCTTCATCTGAAGGGGGCCCACGGGGAAGCCGGAGAGGGGCTGACTCTTCTTCACGAGCTGGGGTAGTAATAGGAACAAGGAGTACAAACTGAAAGAGGGGAAATTTCTAGGTTAGATGTTAGGAAGAAGTTCTTTTTACTGCGGTAGAAAGGGTGGTGGGGCACTGGCAGGGGATGCCCAGAGAAGCTGTGGCTGCCCCTGCCCTGGAAGTGTTCAAAGCCAGGTTGGGCAAGGCCTTGAGCAACCTGGTCTAGTGGAAAGTGTCCCTGCCCATGGCAGGGGGTGGAACAAAACGATATTTAAGGTCCATCCCAACCCTGGAACATCCTGTGAAGACTGGAACCACTCCATGCCCTGAAAGGGAGCCCTTTCCTCTTGCAGGAAAACCAGGCCAAGTGTTTGGGTCAGAATGTTAAGTGTCTTTGAGATTATAAGTGTTAATCTATTTAGGACTCCAGGTGTTTTCAGCTTGGCTGAATTCAAAAGGGGGGATGGGAGACTGAGGATGGACTGACGGACAGGAGGAGACCTGAGCTGCCTGAAATCATGTCCCTAAATCTTCCCTTTACAGTGCAGGAACATGATGGAGGTGGTTGGGTTTATTTTGTTAAAGTTCTGCGAAGAAACACTCACATTAGAAATACACGTAGCTGGCATAAGAAGCCGAACAACTATCTGTAGGTTGTGTGCTACATTTAAATAAAATAATAGCCTTTGAAGGAATAAATAATAGAAGCATCTGGTTCTGGCAGCCATCTTACTGTGAGCAGCATTTCGTGCTGTTAAGGCTTAAACTTGGCATCAGATGTTACCCGTGAAAACATGATGCTGTTTTTTCTGCTAATGACACTGAAACTGAGTTGTAATTCCAACCTGAGTACTGATGACGAAGTTAAATTTACTTCCCAGTCAGGCCTTTTCCTTCCTCCTGTGTTTTTGCAGAAGAAATAAATCACTTCCGGTGTGACTGAGGGTTGGCAAATGTGGCAGGGGAATGTTAGTTTGTTTTTTTTTAAAGTCTCTTCTCCCTTAAA